CTCCTTTGGCCATTGTCCTGTGGCTTCCAATGAGGAAAATCATTGTTCTCCCCAAGGGTGATGCTCAAATGGATTGCATTGCATACCTGTACAAAACTGTAGCCTTTGACTTGCAAGACGGAGAGCTGTTTAAAAGTTCTTAATGTTGACTTTGGGTTGTTATTCACTCATTACTTATGTGAGCATACAGACATGAGAAAGATTTAGGCTCCTGTTAATTCAGGTCCTGTAACTATACACTCTGTCTCCTGAGAAGACTTGCAGTTTCTGAAGCAGGGATCCTCCACTAGGCCATTTGTCATGCAAAGTAGGAGCTGGCAGCAGTTTAGACCTGTGAGGTGCAGGCGCCAGTCATTTGTGTTATCCTTGAGACTGCCTCAAGGATGGAGATTTAGTCTAAACTTAAGGAATTTGCATCAGTCTTAAATTTTCTTTCTTGGTCAGTTGAGATACTGGTGAGACTCTGAGAGACTTCAGAGTCTAGAACTACCTTTATGTTCGATCAACATAGTATGTTTTAGAGAACTAGTACAGAGCCAGCTCCCAGTACTTTACCATCTTAGAAATACCTTTATCAGAAATAGTCCTGGGGCCATAATGAATTCTCAGGGTTTTCTATTTTTTTCTGTAGGCATGTTCTTCTAGATCATTTTTAAAATCATCTTGGCAGCTTTGGCTGCCAGATTTGGGCATTCATTCATTAATTTATTCTGCAAATATTTATAATATATTTCTTACGGTCCATACATGCTCAGTACTAGGCCCAGGTGATATGATGGTAAACACGAGAGATGCTCATCCTGGGGTAATTTTTCAAAAAGGAAAATTAAAAGATAATCTGCCTTCTAGTCCTAATTTTATCATTAACAAGATATTTAACTTTTAACAAATTATCTAACATAGACTTCAGTGTCTGTGATAGGAAAAACAATGTTACAGATTGCATTGTTTTTTTTTCTTTTTTCAGCTTTAGAATTTTGTGATTTCACATTCCTTTCATATTGTCCACACTCTAGGAGAAAACAAAAATAAAAACAAAAGCAAAGGAAATCAGAATGTCTGCTTTCTAATTTGTCAATGCCTTTAAAGAGCAAAGTCTCTCTTTGCCCAAATGTATTTGAATAGTCTGAAAAAGAGCTTAGCTCAGTTCAAAGTAAGAAGTCAGACAGAGAGACAACGGATTTAATCCATGTTTTATTAAAAAAAAAAATGAACAGCAACAAACTTTCTAAAGCCAACGAAAAAGTGATAGATCCATGAGTCAATCTGCCAACCATTTACGTGTTGAAAAAGTAATAGGTACACAACTCATAAGGCCTTTCCTAAAGCTGTTCCACAGATGTGATTAAAGAAGCAATGTACTGTATTGCTAGTTTTACAAAGAGTACAGAGGCATGGACATAAAAGAACTTTGAAACAATATTTTCAGAATTATATGCTGGATGCGCTGTCCCACTTCACTCCAGTGGTGGGCTGCAATCCTGCCCACTTTCTGGATGCTCATTCCTTCTTCTATTTTTTTTTTTTTCTCACACACACACTAATACCTGCCCTCAGACTACATGGTTCCTCAGGCACAATTGCCATTTATGCCTAGAAGTTCCCTGTGAATTTGAAGGGCAAAGTTTAATCTTCAGGTGTCTCAAATGTTCACTCCATTTTTCTTATCCTTCATGTCAGAAGAGCTTATGACAAATTAATTATTATGTGTATTCTTCAGATTATGCTAGGTGATGCATCTTATCTTTTCGAAGTGTGAGGACTCAGGCCAAATACAAATAGGTAAATTTTCCATTATGTCATATAAAATTTATGGGAGCCAAACTGTATCTATCTCAAGTGGAATAAAAGAAATATTCCATTGTGTATCCACCTCAAATACCTTAGGGGTAATTTTGTATTACCGGATATCACACAGATATATTTTTCAGCAAAAGCTGTCTCATATTCTTGGGACTAGATAATATTTTGATATTTTTTCTACCTTTCCCCTTTTCTGTCACCTAAGCAGATAGCCAGCTCAGAGGTTGGCCCCGTGGCGGTGTAAGACAGACCACTTTCTGGCTTGTGTTTCCAAAAGCCAAAGCCCATCAGAAAACTCACAGGGCTTGCAGGAGAGAGCATGGGAGAGGCAGCAGGTTGCAGTAACATTGGGGCCTAGGGACCAGAGGGGCTTCAACATGGGTTGTCAGCCTCAGCACATGCTTGCCTTAAGAACGCTGCAGCAACAGAGCCCAGCCATCTCGATGAGAAATGGCACAGAGGGATGAGCTTGCAGCCCAGGTGCTTTGCTCATCTGTGATCTGAGGGAGATAAAACCAATCAAAGGCATCCCAAAGAAATTCTTTCTTTTTTTACATTCAAAGGAGGTGAGAAACTGGCATGCACAAAGGCACAGAGGCACATGCCAGGACAACGTGTTGGAAATGGCAAAGTACCTCAAAAGTCATTGGAGATGGCTGGACAGGAGCCAGAATGGGGAATGATGAGCAAAGAACTTAGCACGAAAGGGAGGAAATAGTTAAAAGTTATGCAGAAAAGACTGGTTATTACCCTTGTGGCTGAGCAAGGACTGAGGAAATGAAAACTCCTCCTGTTTTAAGGACTATACCTGCTGCATTTGGATGACTTCCAGGGAGAAGGGTCAAGGGGGTTGGAGGAGGAGATAACAACGATAATTCAGGTGCGAGGTGAGGAGTGCCTGGGTCATGGCAAGAAGAGTGGGGTTTCAAGACAGGAATAGCAGCCTGCAGTGAGGATGGTTTCGGGGTGCTGGCAAAAGAGAGAAAATGTTTTAAAATGACTACACAACCAGGAGCCTGGTGCCTAGGGTAGGTAATCTTGGAGCCATGGGAGATAACAGCACATTTGAAAGAGATGGGGAGAGAGTGGGGGTGAGAGGAGATGGAGAGGAGGAGGACAGCTGTAAGGGAAAATGACGGTGAAAACCATAGTTCCACTAATTGTCCCACATACTAAAAACATTAGGTACGAGGGTACTTCCAAACATTCATGGAAAGATTTACATTTTCTTTTAATTCTATTTTTCCACAAACTTTTTGAAGTACCCTCATATAATATTCTTATAATCAGAATATTCAGTGTCTTAATGGTGATTTAAACCTCATCATACAGGTGAGGAAAGTAAGACTCAGGGGTAGTATTAATCCCTTGCCCACGACGGTTCAGCTGGTCATTGGAGAACATGCACCATAACCTGGCATCCTGACCTGTCCATTAGGTCCCTTCCACACTGCAGCACCGTCATCCCTGGCTCCATCCCACTGTCCCCCGCTGCCTTTCCTCACCCTCTCCACTCACAAGGCTCTTTCCTCCACAGTGCCAAACTTTGCATTACAACTTTCTAGTGCGTCAAAGAAAGGCTACCTCTAAGATCCTGCAAGAGTTAGGCCTTTTAAAAAAAACTGCATCTGCTTTCCCTCAGAAATTTTCTATGACCATCAGCTCTGTGCTAGGTAATGCTTTTGATACAGCAGTGAAAAACATTATCCCAACTCTCAGGGAGCCACCATTCTAGTGGGAAGAGGCAGGCAGTAAACAATAAATAAAATGTCAGGTGGTGAAAAGTGCTATGACAGGTAGAATAGGGTAAGTGAACCAAGAGTAACTAGGTGGGTGATCAGGGAAAGCCACTGTAATAGGGTGACATATGGAAGCAACCCGAAGAAAGGGAGAAAGGAGCTTGTGTGGACATCCGGGAAATAACACAGGAACCAAGAGTCCAGCAAGTGCAAAGCTAAAGTGGAAATGTACTCGCTGTGCTCGAGCAGCAGAAAGCGGCTAGCAGGGCTGCCGCCAGTTGAGCAAGAAAAAGAGGAAATGAGGTCAGAGAGCTGGCGTGGACACAGACCACATGAAGCTTGCAGGCCATGGCTTTTGGCTTCTGCTGTAAATGAAAAGAAAAGCCATTAGAAGGTTTAAACTAGAGGAACAGCATAATCTGGTTTACATTTTAAAAGAATCACTCTGATTGCTGTATGGAAAAGAGATCGCAAGGGTGCATGGGTCAAAACAGGTTAGCAATAAGGAGATCCTTGCAATAGTCTAAGTGAGAAATGATTATGGCATAGTTTAGGGTGTGACAGATGGTTGGGATTGCACGTAGTTTGAAGGTACAGTCAACAGAATTTGCTGAGGAATTAGATGGGAGGCAGAGGAAACACGGAGGTCTTTAGCTATGATAACTTATGTTGTAATTTATTAATGAGGAAGATTCAGAAGGCACAGGATTAGTGGGAAGTAGGGGGCAGGGATAAATCATGACTTGTGTTTTGTTTCTTTCAAGTCTGTCATGCCCTAGAGAAGGATAACAGCAGCCCTGACATCTGGGAACTGGTCTGGTACGATCCAGCTAGATCCTGGTGTGTGTTCCTGGTGGTCTTTGGCTGGAGGGCTTTGACACACTTAGACATTCAAGTGGAAATGTTGCAGAGGCAGTAGTCTAGGTCAGGGAGAAGGTCAAGGCTAGCGATGTAAATGTAGTATTCATCTGCATGGAGTACTCAAAGCAGGGGTACCGTAAGCCACCCCCTGCTAGAACATGGAGAAGAGAAGAGGTCAAAGGACTAATTCTGGATGCATAGTGTTTGGATGTTAGGGAGATGAGAAAGATCCAGCATGGAGACTCAGAAGGAATGGTGACTGAAGTAAAAGGAAAACTGAGAGCAAGTAGAATCCAGGAGAATCCAAGAAGAGTATTTCAAGATACTGGGAGGAACTATGTCAGCTGTGAGTGTTCAGGTAATCTAAGGATGGGAAAGTGGCTGTTTTATTTGTAATGGGGAAGTCACTGGTGACCTGAGAAGCACCGTCTTGGTGGAAAGGCTTCAAAGGAGAATGTGAAGAGAGGAAGGGGTGACAGTCGGGATAAGTAACTCTTCTGAAGAATGTTTCTGTGCAGTGGGGAGAGAGGAAACAGAGCAATAGCGGGAGAGGGATGTGATGATATGAGGTAGAAGTAGGCGTTTCTTTTTTAAGATGGTGAACATAGTATGTTTGTGTGCTAACGGGAGTGGCTCCATAGAGAGGGACTGATTAATGATGCGGCAGAACGTCACACTTAACGTGATCAGAGGCGTGGGATTGAGCGCACAGGTTCATCCATCCCAGCAGGGAAAACAGAGTAGGAGACCCAGGCTGGCCGTAGACCCGTGGGTCGGAACACGTGCACGATCACTTCTGACCCCTCTGACGGTGTCAGTGAGCTTTTCCGAGGGAAATAAGGGAGGTCATCAGGAGGTCATCAGTGAGGCTGGGGAAGAGAGCACTGGAAGTTTGAGAAGGAAAAATGGCTGTGACATCCTCTAGGAGAGGAGGAGAGACTTCCCAGTGATCTTCTTCCTCTTAATGTCCCCGTCTCAACAAATACGGAACCTCAGAATAGACACAGATGACAGCAGGATATGCAGTCTTTCATTTTTGAAAATAAAAATTCCATATACAGTGTTTAATAGTTTCAATTATATGATGTGTGTAATATATACGTACACATACATACATATAAAATTTGGTTTTACTAACTATGATACTCATTAGTTTGAAAAGATGTTGAAATCAGGAATAAAATGGTGCCCCCACAAATTATAAAAGCTAATTGAAATTTGGGGCATATTTTAGGTCTTTATTTGAGATTTTTATGATTTACTACTTTTTCTACTTTTACCCAGAGACCTTTGAAAGTTTCATCATCGAGACCAGTGGTTCTCTTGCGTCAGAATCACTCGGAGGGTTTGTTAAAACATGAATTGCTGGACTACACCCCCAGAAAGTCTGATTTTAGATATCTGGGGTGGGGCCTGGGATTCTGCATTTCCAGTAAGTTCTGAGCTGACACTGATGCTGCTGGCCCAGGGACCACACTTTGGGAATCACTGATTTGGAGATACAGGATCTTGTTGGTCTTCTTGTGTATAAAGAGCAAAAAGAACCCAGAGAGAGAGGTTAAGAATGTGAATGGGTCTCAATAGGAGACAGGAGAGAAAAGAGCATACCTGTCATCACCCGGGGGGATCCCAGATTGTGAACAGCCTCCAATCTTCATTTCTTGTTTAGTCTCCAACCACTGTGCTTCCATCACCCCTGCAAGAAGAAATCTCTAATTAGAGTAGACCCTAGGATTAAGACAGAATCAAGATTTCGTTCTGCTAGAAAATACTAAACTCCATTGAAAAGAGCCTTTTCTCTTGCTATTTCTGAGGTAGTTTCCAGCATTTATGAATATACAGCCTAAAAAATAGAAAATGCTGCCTTGGTAGAGAAACTAGCTTTAGAAGCTTATACTAGTTTCCACCTCTTATATGACCTTGACTCCAGTTTTGTGGAATGTAGGAATGGCCTTACGTTCCCTCAGCACCTGCTCCTCTCTCCTTGCTCCTACTTGCCAACTGAGGCCTCAGGGGCCTCTCAGGACTGTCCAGATCCATTTGTCAGGAGTTCACGCAGTAAACATGCCACTGGGCCCAGCCTGTCAGAAGAGCTTCTGCCAAAGGGCCGTCGCACCACAGCTCCCTCAGGCTGCTTGTTTAACTTCAGTCCACTCCTCATCTTTATGTTTTGTTTAGAGTTAAGTGCACAGTTCTCACATAGTAAATGTTGACTAATAACTTCACCAATGTCTACAGTAACATGCATGTGGATGTTTTGTCATTTCAGCACAGAAAGTAGGAACTGAAAAAGATAAGCTATTTCATATACAATATCAAGTGTCTGTAATGTAGATCAAGTCACAAGGTAACTTATTTTATAAATTTCTTACATGACAAAAATTCTAAAAGGTAATATGTGTTCCTTGTACTTAACAAAGCAAAAAGACAGAAATTAAAGTACCTATAATGCTATCACCTATACATAGACACAGTTGTAGTTTTGGCAACTAATTTTTTCAAATAAAAGCACACATACTTGTACATATATGTGTGCATACACATGCACACACGTAATAAAACTAGACATGCTTTTCTGTGACCTGCTTTATTTAGTTTTATACTTATTATATTCTAAACAGCTTTCCGCATTAATAATTTCATCCTAAATTGCTGCATAATTATTCCATCCTCTGGATAATGCACAGTTTATTTATGAGTTAACCAGTCCCCTATTGCTGGATATTGCTCCCCAATTTCTTAATTTTATTTTTTTGTAATTTATTTTCATTAGCATATTCATTACTACAAATTATAATTATTCTTTATGTCCCTTACCAGATTAATCACTCTCCAAGCACCCATGCTCCACCACCCCATCTCTAGTATCTTTAGGTTTGTTCTCTCCTTCTGAAAGTTCAACGTATCATTGTAGTCTCCCTTCTTTCCTTCCTTCCTTCCTTCCTTCCTTCCTTCCTTCCTTCCTTCCTCTTTCTTTCTTTCTTTCTAGCACCCAGTTATGATTGAGAACATGTGGTATTTCTCCGTGTCTGGCTTATTTCACTTAACATAGTTTTCTCCAAGCTCATCCATGTTGCTGCGAATGGCAGAATTTCATTCTTTTTATGGCTGAGTAGTATTTCATTGTGTTCATATACAGTATTTTCCTTATCCAGTCATCCATTGATGGACATTTAGGTCGGTTCCATAGTTTAGCAACTGTAAATAGAGCTGCGATGAACATGGGAATGCAGGTGTCCCTTAAACATAATGATTTCCCTTCCTTTGGATATATACCCAGTAGTGGAATTGCTGGATCATAGGTTGTTCTATCTATAGTTGTTTGAGGAACCTCCATACTGTTCTCCATAGTGGCTGTACTAATTTATAGTCCTGCCAACAATGTAGAAGAGTTCCCTTTTCCCCATATCCTTGCCAGCATTTGTTAATCTCAGTCATTTTAACATTGGCCAGTATAACTGGGATGAGATGATATCTTAATGTGGTTTTAATTTGCATTTCTCTCATGATTAGTGATGTTGAACATTTTTTTCATGTACCTGTCAGCCATTTGTATATCTCCCTTTGAAAAATGTCTATTCATCTCCTTTGCCTATTTTATAATTGGATTATTCATTTTCTTATTGTGTAGTTTTTTGAGTTCCTTATATATTCTGGATACTAGTCCCTTGATGGATATACAGTTTGCATAATATTTTTTCCCATTCCATAGGTTGTCTTTCCACTCTTTAATTATTTCCTTTGCTGTGCAGAAGATTTTAAATCTAATATAATCCCATTTGTTTATTTTGTATTTTGCTGCTTGTCCTTTTGGGGTCTTATTCATAAAGTCTTTGCCCAGGCCTACTTCTTGGAGAGTTCCCCTTATGTTTTCTTTCAGTAATTTTATGGTTTCAGGTCTTATATTTAAGTTTTTAATACATTTTGAGTTGATTTTGGTGTACCGTGAGAGGTACAGGTCCAGTTTCATACTTCTGCATATGATGTCCAATTTTCCCAGCAACATTTATTTGAAAAGGCAGTCTTTTCCCCCGTATATGCTCTTGTTACCTTTGACAAAGTTCAGTTGGCTGTAAGTATGTGGGTTTGTTCCCAGATTTTCCATTCTGCTCCACAGATCTGAGTGTCTATTTTTATGCCAGTACCATGCTGTTTTGGTTACTAGAGCTTTGCAATATAATTTGAAGTCGGGTATGCCTCCAGCTTTATTGATTGATTGATTGATTGCTCAGGATTGCTTTGGCTATTTGGGGTCTTTTGTTGTTTCATATGAATATTAGGATTGTTTTTCCTACTTCTGTGAAAAATGTCATTGGTATTTTTATGGGGATTGTATTGAATCTGTAGATCACTTTAGCTAGTATGGACATTTTTCATAATGTTAATTTTTCCAGTCCAAGAGCATGTTATGTCTTTCCACTGTCTGTGTCCTCTTTAATTTCTTTCAGTGTGTTTCATAGTTCTCATTGTAGAGATCTTTCACTTCCTTGTTAAAATTGATTCCTAGGTGTTTTATTTGGGGCCAACTCTTGTAAATGGGCTTGCTTTCTTAATTTCTTTTTTTGCTAGTTCATTTTTGGAGTATTAAATGCTACTGATTTTTAGGTGTTGATTTTGTATCCTATGACATTACTGAAATTGTTAATCATCTTTAATAGTTTTTGGTAGAGTCTTTAGGTTTTTCTTTGTATAAGATCATGTCATCGGCAAACAGGGACAATTTGACTTCATCATTACCCCTTGGATAACCTTTATTTCTTTCTTTTGCCCAATTACTCTGGCTAGTACTTCCAACTATATATTAAATAGGAGTGGTGAGAGTGGGCATCCTTGTCTTGTTCCTGTTCTTAAGGGGAAAGCTTTTAGCTTTTCCCCATTCAGAATTATATTGGCAATTGGTTTGTTGTATATGTTTTTAATTGTATTGAGATAATTTCCTCCTATACCTGATTTGCTGAGAGTCTTTATCATGAAGGGATGTTGAATTTTGTAGAATGCTTTTTCTTTCTCTTTTGAGATAATCATGTAGTTTTTGTCTGTGGTTTTGTTGATGAGATGTGTCACATTTATTGATTTTCAAATGTTGAACCATCCTTGCATCCCTGGGATGAATTCCACTTTATCATGGTGTATAATTTTTTTGATGTATTGCTGTATTCTGATTGTTATCTTTTGTTGAGGATTTTTGCATCTATGTTCATCAAGGATATTGGCCCGTAATTTTCTTTTTTTTATTGTACCTTTGTCTGGTTGTGGTATCAGGGTGATGCTGGCCTCATAGAATGAGTTTGGGAAAATGGCTTCTGTTGCAATTTTTTGGAATAGTTTGAGGAGATTTAGTATTAATTTCTTTTTAAAGGTTTGATAGAATTCAGTTGTAAAGCCCTCTGGTCCTGGGCTCTTCTTTGTTGGATGATTGCTAATTACTGCTTCAATCTTGTTGCTTGTTCTTAGTTTGTTCAACTTTTCTGTTTCTTCTTTGTTCAGACTTGGTAGTTTGCATGTGTCCAGAAATTTATTCATTTCCTCCAGGTTTTTATATTTTTTGGCATACAGTTCTTTATAATAATCTCTGATGATTCTTTGTATGTGGGGGGTATCAGTTGTAATGTCTCCCTTTTCTTTTCTGATATCTGTTGTTTGGGTCTTCCTTCTTCCTTTTTGTTTTTGGTTAATCTAGCTAATGGTTTGTCTATTTTATTTATCTTCTCAAAAAAACAACTTTTCATTTCATTGATCTTTTGTATTGTTTTTTCATTTAGTTCTGCTCTATCTTAATTATTTTTTTCCATCTACTACTTTTAGGATTGGATTATTGTTGGTTTTCTAGTTCTTTGAGGTGTAGCATTAGGCTGTATATTTGAAGGCTTTCTATTCTTTTGAAGTAAGTATTTATTGCAACAAACTTTTCTCTTTGTACTGCTTTTGCAGTATCTCACAGGTTTTGGTATGATGTATTTTTATTTTCATTAGTTGCAAGAAATTTTTTGATTTTCTGTTTAATTTCTTCTTGAACCCATAGATCATTCAGGAGCCTCTTGTTTAGTTTCCATGCATTTGCGTAGTTTCTAGAGTATTGCTCATTTTTGATTTCTAATTTTACTCCATTGTGTTCTGAAAACAAAAAATGGAATGATTTCAATTTTTTAAAATTTGCTGAGACTTGATTTGTGACCTAACATGTGGTCTATTCTGGAGAATATTCCATGTGCTGATGAGAAGAATCTGCATTCTGTCATTGTTGGATAAAATGTTCTGTACATATTTGCCAGGACCAGTTGACCTAAGGTGTAGCTTAAATCCTGGGTCTCTTTGTTGATCTGTTGCCTGGAAGATCTGTCCCATACTGAAAGAGGAGTGTGTTCAGTTCACCCACTATTATTGTATTAGGTTCTATCTCTTTCTTTAGATCTAAGAGTGTTTGCTTTATATATCTGGGTGCTCTAGTGTTGAGTGGATACATATTTATGATTGTTATATCTTCTAGTTGGATAGATCCCTTTATCATTATATAGTGGCCTTCTTTGTCTCTTTTTATGGTTTTTGGTTTAATGTCTATTTTTCCTGATATAAGAATAGCCACTCCTGTTCATTTTTAGTTTTCATTTGCATGGTATATCTTTTTCCATCCCTTCCCTTAGTCTGTATGTCCTTAAAAGTGAGGTAAGTCTCTAGAAGACAGCATATACTTGGGTC